ATATTCGGCAATGCTGAACGAGGCGGAAAGATGCTGATACTCTGACTGGAGCGGCGACTACACAAATACCCGATAGTAGCGTCAACCCTTATAATAATGCTGGTCGTGCCGACCTGGCTCATCTTGAAATGGTGTGCCGACACTGAGGGTGGCTGCTGTAAAGAGCGACACCGTGTGGAAAGACCATGGGAGCGTGCTCATGAAAAAGAATCCGGAGATCCGCGGCATTGATCAACGTTGCTCGCCCACATAACTCAATTGGTGTTGTTCAGCTCACAATGGCTCCTCGCAAGGATTCCCCGTCGCCACTGCTCACGCCGCAGGGTGTATCACCGAAGATCACCACCGACTACAGCACTCAGGTACTGTCGCCGCAGCCATCAACGGGCTACAGCACCAAGCTATGGGACGCTCGACCGTCCAAGTACTCGCAGAATATCATGAAGAAAGTCTGCGTCTTCATTTTCCTCATGACGATATGTGAAGAGGTGGCCAGCTATGCCGTCAACCAGTCGCTCAAGAATTTTTTCCAGCGACTGGGCTGGTCCAACAAAGGTTCCAACTCCATGAAGCTCACATACGACTCTCTCAGCCAATTCGCGTGCATCCCGGCAGGCTATATCTCTGATGAATTCCTCGGCAAATTCAAAACGCTGCTTGGTGCTGCATCCTCCAGCTCCGTGGGCTTTGTGCTCATCACGCTTGCAGCCGTGCCGTCAATCCGCGCTACCCAGTCTTTGAGCAAAACTCTATTCTGTATCGGTCTCTTTGGTGGCGTTGCGCTCAACCAGGTGTGCCTTCGAGCGCTGACGGTCTCATTTGGTGGTGATCAATTCTCTACCACGTCTCCTCCAGAAGAGAGGGCGAGGTTCTTCAGTCTAAACTTTTGGGCCTCACGCCTTGGCATTTCTTTCAGCTACGCCGTGTTTCCTTCGCTCGCAATCCACGGCTTTGGAGCCATCCCAGCCGACTATGGTTTCATGGCTGTCTACCTGGTTGGCTTGCTCATGCTGCTTATTTTCGTCGGAGTTATGCTTTTCACACGAAAGCGCTATGTGGACATCCCACCAACCAGAAGTGCTCTCGGTAGTGTGATCCGTGTTGTTGTCCGTCGTGCCAAGCACAACTACCAGGCGAGGATGATTGTGTTGGGTACGGTCATGTATCTCACTGCTTTTCTGCTGAATTTCCCTGCTGCGTTCTTGGGGGACAATGGCGAAGTAGGTCACAACATTTCATACGCGTGCGGTGTGTTGACAGTCGTTGCTACCGTCATCTACATCTATTACGCTCGAGACCCCTCGTTCATTGAAGGCGCCACCGATGCCGTCGGCGTCGATCTCGACCCTGAAACGATTCGTGGGATCAAGCAAGTGATCCGTATCCTGCCTTTCAACGCCTTTAATATGTTCTGGTGGGTCTGCCAGAACCAACGCGGCAACAACCAAACAATCATCCAGCAGACCGATATGAGACTCGGGAGCGGGCCTGACGCCAGCCAAATTCCGGGCCCCACAGTCCAAATCTTCAATCCTGCTTCTGGCTTTCTCTTCGTGCCACTGCTTGACAAGATTGTCTATCCATTGTACGAGAAGTATGTTGGCAAACCGCCCAGCAGATATGGCAAGGTTTTGGCTGGTTACATCGTGGCAATCATCGCGATGCTCTGGTCTGGCTGCTTTGAAATTATCCGACGTAATTCCCCTTTGCTGATGTATGTAGATGCCAATGGAGAAACGCAGTACATCTTGAACGACGACGGCGGTCAGCCGATGAGCGACATTCCGTGGTATGCTGCGATTCCTCAGTACTGTCTTGTATCATTGGCGACGGTATTCATCCAAATCTCCACGTACAACATCGGCTATACGGAGGTCCCACTCAGTTTGTGTGGCATGTCCATCGCCTTGGGCTTCTTCATGAACTCTATGGGGAGCACGCTCCTGTCCGTGTTCGTGCTGCTGTTCGGCAAGTACATCCCCACCGACTTGAACGACGGCCACATGGAGTATTTGTACTTTACACTGGCAGCGGTGATGGCGATCAACACTTTTTTCTATGTACTGGTGATGAAGGAGATGAACTTTGCAATGATCCCACCAGTCGACCGGTCGGCAAAGGATCCGCTAACACGGAATCTGCAGGACCGAGAGTCAAAACGTGATCGGGCGGCATCGGTAGCTTAGGCACCTGACTTGATCATCTTGCATAATTGCGTGGCGTTGCCATATTCAAGTGGCCGATCCGTCGGTTCGTTACAAAAATCCAAAGTAGTTTGCTGTCATATGTTTACATTAATTGTTTTATAAAATTTAAGAGGTGTGGGCAGTTTCTTACAAGTTAAATTAAATTTCTGTAAAGTTTTGCAAATTAAACTTACTAGTAAATCTCAGTAAACTCATCTCGGAATTAATGTCAGGCACAATTTGGCTTGCATAAGTTTAATCTAATCTGTATACGTTTACAACTATTTAATTTAACTTGTATAGGTTTACAGAAAAATGATAGAGCTACCTAAAACCCTTGTTTGTAAATGAATTTCAATTGAGAAAATGGGCAGACTACCGATGAAGGAAGGCGGCGGGCGTAAGGAGCGCAAGAATCTGCGCTCATCCACGACGTTCGAGACGCGTTTGGCGGCGATAAAGTATTACGACGAGAGCGGTGATATGTCGTCCACGGTGGAGCGCTTCTTTCCGACGCTGTCGATGGAGGCCAAACGGAGCAAGAAGCGCGTCATCTACGCCTGGATTAAAGACCGCGAAAAAATCGAGAAGGCCTGCGAGTCTGTGAACACCGCCAAATCACATCGCCTGCGGAAGGCAGGGGCTGGACTTACACTTAGTGATGACGCGGAGAAGTGTATCCTGGTGTGGCTACGTTCGATGCAGAAGCTCGGTGTGCCTGTGACTGGGACGATGCTGTCCGAGCACGCGTTGGAAGTGGCCAAGGAGCTGGGCATCGACAGCGCTCTCTTCACAGCGTCGGTAACTTGGAGGAAGAGCTTCCTCCAGAGACACAAGCTGGCCATGTAGAAGCTGACTGGGAGTGTAAATGGTTGACGAAGCCTTCACCACGAGGTTGCATCAGCTTTACATGAGGACAGACTGAGTGGAAAGAGTCTGCTCATCTGATGGCATGGTTGTACTATGGTGCTCTACGGTAGGTGGTATTCTTACTGGGACTTCCGCGTAATATCGATGGTTCAAGCTGTTAAATCATTGCTAGTGTCGTCGACCTTATGCATCAGTTAATTACATTGTGCATACGTTATTTGATCCCATCGATATTATCCACCCAGTGCCCATGACGGTCTAAGGTCTGCTTCACGCCGTATTTCCTTTTTTGCTATGTCCATGGCGTCGGTCAACGAGGTCTCCTGGATGCATCGCGCGCAGAACGATCTCTTACACTCGATCAATTCCCTGGTGTTGGGGTCCGCGACGCACACTAGCCTCTTGACGCAGCAGTGAGAGCAGATCGCGTTCAGGCAGATACTGCATGCTTTGGTGCCGCCTAAGACCCTGAACGCCTTGTTACAGATTCTACACGCTGTGCACGTGGTCAGCGGTTTTCGAGCCTTCGCGATCGGTTCCCCACACGCCACTTGCTGCTTCAGTCTCCACACAGTCTTTTTCATCTGCGCCAGCTCCGTGATCCGTGCATGGGAGAGCCACTGGTTAGCAATGACCTGCAATGCGACTCTGTTAGCGATTGGGTCGTTCTTGGTTTCAAAGTCAAAGAAGCCACGCGCATAACACTCCACCGTGCTCGGCGTCCGCTGGCGATACATAACGCACACCGAGCGGTTGCCTCTGTCGATACTATGGCGATCAAACTGCGGGAGCTGCTCGTCAAAGGCAATAGAGTGTGATAAACTGTAACCCACCCTCTCACCTGTCGACGAACGAGCGAAGCCAGTGGTATCCAAACACACGTAGTCACGCGTGCTGTAGAGCTGCCACTTGACGCTTACCTGCCGGAACGGATCGCGCTCGGTCGGTTGCACCAGGCAACGCAATATTTTGCTTTGCTCGGTGCCGTCTTGCAACACTCGCTCCTTTATTCTCACGTCAGTATCGGTGGCAGCAACGGTGCCGAACATGATGTCATCCAGGTTGCCCGCGACAGTGCCAAGCATCATGATGGAAGGGATGCTGTGCGTGTCGGATTTAGCCGTAACGCGCTCCTCGTAGATGCGGAGGTCTTCGACCTTGCGGATTTCGTGCCACTTGCTACCCGGAGTTACCTTAGCAACGATTCTGTCCTTCGTCTTGGAGCGATACAAGAGCTGTGCGTACTGCTCCAGGTTGTTCGCCACCAGCACCGCCTCCAGCTGCTGCAGACCCTCACTGTCCGCCTTCGTCACCTCTAACTCTGGCAATAGCTCCACGAAAATCGGTGCCGGCATGGCCTACAACTGTTGAAAGACGGCAACCTACTCGTGCCGCTAGAAATTGAAAAATGTTATCCAGGACTGAAGTGATGTGGTCAGGCTATCGGATCCATGGAGATTCGATCACTATACAAACTACAACTACAAACTTCTTTTTGCGTCGAAAGACTCATCCACGTAACAAGTAAACAAAACACGCACTCTTTTTTTTGTGGTGATATACATGGTATCAAATGGTCGAGAGAGATCAAAATTAGTTCCTCCTGCGGATGCGGAGAGGATGGGCTTCAGTATTGAACACATACTTGTCAAGCGAAATGAGAGTCTCGGGGGCTTGCAGCAAGTAGTGATACTTGAGCGTCTCCGCCAAAAAGAAACTCTCCATCTTGTTCTCGGTTTGAGCAGGCAGCTTCGTGACGTCCATAATGGCAGCGTAGCCGTGCTTCACCTTGGTGTGTGTCTCTAGAGCTTGAAAAATTTCCCAGCCATATTCACGGTATTTGGGATTCTTGGTGACGCGATACAGGTAAAAGAGACTCTCGATGGTCTCTGGTCGAAGGCGGTACTTGGGATCAATCACCTGCATCTTTGGGAAGCTCACGATGTCAGGTGATAGCCCCGTCGGCTGACGGTGATAGAACTGGTAGCAGGTCTCCATGAGCTTCTCGGCGAGCTCAAGATGTTTGGCGTTTTTGGCGTGGTCCTCTGTCTCGGATAGCGTACCCAACGCCAACAGTCCTGGAACGAAGCAAAGAAGATGATCCATGCGTTGAACAGCCTGCAAACACGATATTATACGTCAGAGTCATCATTTCATCTCACTGCAAAAGTATTAGAGTCACGCACCGACAAGGACGGTACTTTCATTTCCTGCAAAAAGTAGAGATCGTCGGGGATAGAGAAGTACAGCAAGTGCTCCTCCATGCCTCTCACCGCATCGTCGTAGAGCTCCCGAAGATACTCATCCTCTTCGCGTTTGCCGCTATAGATGTACACTTTCAACAAATACTCGTAGAACGAGTCACCGAGCGCACCAAGAGTGATGACGCTTCTCTGACTGTCGAACTTCCCACGGGCAGAATTGAAATGCACCGGAAACAAGCCCGTCTTCTTGTATGATCCTTCGCGCTTTAAAATCTGGTAAAAGGCGTCGCCCTGAGTTACAAGTGAAAAGAATTGACAAAGTGATCGTTAGATTCCGACGCAAGAGATCATTTCTGGCATTTCCCTACCATCTCGGCGTATTTTGGATCTCCAGTAATGTCCGATAGATAGCGTGTCTCGAGCTGAAGTGTGCCGACATCTGCAATATGAGCGCTGCCATATCAAAAAAAGCCACCATTAATACAGTTGGCATTTAGACCGGATCGACAACAGAAGACCACACTTACCGGTAGCCTGCCCACCCAGCAAAGCTCTTCTCCTTGGTGTATGGATTGAAAAGTGTGTAGAATACGCCCTCTTCTTCATCGTAAGCAGGCGCGAGAATGTCCATGAGCTCCTTAGCTTTCTGCTTGAAAATGTTGTCGCCAGAGAGGTCAAACGCACTCAATAGTCCACCTACTTCACGGATGATGGTCTCGAACACCGAGAGTTTGTTGCCATCGCGGCCCAAGTGCGAGAAATCGAGCTGGTTGGCCACATAGTCTCTAGCGCGCTGGAATTCGTCCTTCAAGTCCATGATCCAAAGCGTGTCAATGCCGTCCACCAGGGAGCAGGCGATGTCGCCCCAAACGTTGCTACGTTTCCAGCCGTTTATCGGGTCCACTTCATCCCCGCCGAACGCGTGTTCCTCGTAGTTCCCCCACGCAAACTTCATAGCCTTGCGCACAGCCAAACGTCGAGCTTCTTGCTGCCCAGAGGGCACCGCTGTCACTGTCTTATCAGGGTCCTCCACGTCTGCAACAACCTCGTCCGCTAGCATCTCGTCGACGTCGTGGCCTTCCCCTGCTCCTCCACCTCCTGTCGCGTGATTCACTGCATTGATCTCTGATGGTCGCTGTTTTAGATGTTCGTTGCCTCTGAGATGTGCCTGCTCGTTGCGGTTGTCCGGGTGCTGCCCCTCCTGATTCGTGGCGCCCTGTAATTCGTCCACGTGCGCCGGGATGCCGCCCAAGTTGGTGGTGAGGATGGTATATTGCACCCACAGAAACAGCAATAGGATGAAAACGACGCCAAGGAGAGCCACGCGCTTCCAGAGCTGCAGCTGTGGCGACCGTTTACGTCCCTTGGGTGAATACGACGGCAGCATCTCGGCAACGAATGACAGTCTCGCCTCACCGTTGCACAGGCTTTTATTCCTCGTAATTTTCTACTCGTTATTACAAGCACAACCCTAGTGTAGCCATTGTCTGATCCGTTTTTCTTATGATCATTTTTGAATATTTTTTTTAAGTAGCGTTATTTAATTGTTTTTTAGAATAATGAAAATATTCGATTTTTAAATTATATTAAAATAAACAGGCAGAAAAAATTTTCCAAAAAAGGGTTTTGTCATTCCTTTTACTGTCATTACAGTTCAATTATTGAAATTACGCTACGGCCCTGCAAATTGATAAATCGTCAGCTTTTCAGCGATACCCTTGAGGCTTCCTAGCTTATGGTAGATCAAAAATTACAAATCCAAGACAAAAAATTGAAATTGTGGCCGCAGCGTTGGAAGTTTACAGCACAGATCTAATTTACATGCAACTATTTTCTTACTTTATTCCTTATCTAGATCGGCTTTTCTTTTACGATATTTAAAAATATTACTTAAGTACGATTTGTTAACTTTTTTTTTTCGCTAAATCTCAACCTGTCTTTTATACAGAAATCTAATAGCTAACCAATTATAATTGATTAAGCTGAAATATCGGTTTCTCATTGGGCAGAATGGATTGTCCGTAATTGGCTCGGTGACCCCAAATTGCCAGCTTACCTTACCATTTTGTGCTACCTACTCTCTCTCACTCTCTCTCTCTCTCTCTCTTTCTCTCTCTCTCTCTCTACTACATCCAGATGCATCCGACCAGGGCACCACAAAACGAACAGGCTATTAGCCATGAATATTTCCAAGTGTTACGTTCGATGTGTAGTGGCATGCGTCTTGGAATGCCTGAGAGTTGCACTGTGAAACGAAACCGCGGAGACGAGTACTATAAGAATTGAGTGGCGAACCATATTTTGTTATTGGTCGCCCATCAAAGACCGGCATGGACATGGTGGTGCTTCTTTGCGTTTTGGAGGCCGTCCACCGTTAAAGTAGCACCAGCCAGACAGTGTGGTATTCCTTATATTATTAACAGGACTCTGACGACTTTGGTCACACCATTTGTCACGTGGAAAATAGCCTTGTCAAGCACTTGACAGGCATTTAGTACACCGCAAAGGTAAGAAGCAGCATGTTCATACATTACTACTACACCTTTTCAGCTTCTGAATGGCAAATTGCTAGTCAATAAGTAATGCCAAAAATGTAAAATCAAAATGTCAACAGCCTATATAAACGACGGCACCTGTGGAGCAAATATGGTATGTGATTTAGTGGAGTATTGCATTACTGTTGGGTAGTTTGGCATTTGAGCCCCGTTCGTAGTTCTTAGCGCAACCTCCTCGGCCTTTTACTGCTCTCCAAGTTACCATCGATTTTATTGGCTAATGACATTCTGAGTGGATAAACTCGCACTGACACTTTTGGTCCCACTATTTGGTCACGTGGAAAATAAACCTAGGCAAGCATTTGACGGGCCATTAAGCACACCACGACACCCAGTCTTATATTTAAAGCGTCCATATCGGCCTTGGTGACCACTACACCACTACGGCCACCATATCTATCCCACATTTCCACCTACCATCGATTCCTAGCGGCGTACTTGCACAGTCCCATACCTGGCCCTCTCTCTCTCTCTCTCTCTCTCTCTCTTGGTCAAAGTCCATTCATTACGAACTACTATCCCCACACCTTATCAACTTCAAAATGGCAACGGAATGGGGCAATGAATCGCGCGCCTTTACTGGCAAAGCTGGCGGCCAAAACTGACGCAACGTGGAAGATCAAATTGCTAGTGTAATGTGTCAATATGTTAGTCTGAATCAAAGCGCTCTTATCGGTCAAAAGCTCCGTGAGAGACGTCAATAATGACAACTTTGTAGCAAAGACTCTTTACTGACGTCGTGTGTCTTAATTGAATCACGGTATTATTGGCTTAAGATTGGAGTGAATATTACGGGGATGAAAATTAACTAAAGTTACATTAACTATAATAAAATGTGCCGTCATTTAATTACAATTTGTTTTTCGGGCATTTACTCCATGGTCGGTTCGTGCGCCAGCATCGGGTGTTCCGTCGCCTCAATCTGCGTCGCAACCGAGTGATGATTCCTATCTTATAGTACACGTTCTCACCAATGCACGTGCCACATTACCTGGGTTGCGCTTGGTCCCCAACAAGTTGTCGGTGTGGACATGTTGTGGCAACTAGTCAATGGCTTCTGCTGGCTGACCAACTTCGCTGGCCTTTGTGATGACCGTCCGTCGCGAAAGTAGCACTAGTCAGAAAGTGCGGATTTATGCAGCACTGAACCAAGTAACTTCAAATTGACGCATTAACAAACCACAAATTATACAGTGGTAATCGCTCATCGACCGTCTCAATTCGTTGAATTCCTTTAGCAAACAGTAATGCACCCCGTTTTCGTGGTAATGGGCCATAAACGATTTGCAAACACATCAGTTTTCATCGTAGAAAACCGAGGATATTTGGCAAAAGGAGCATTATATCCGGAAGTTTATCAGAGGTCCGAGGGTGCGAAAACGGGGTTCAGTACTGTAGCCCATTTTGTAGCGTGCAGATCAAAACCATTCGTTTTGCATTAGGGAACAATGCCGACCATTCGCATTCTTACGGCTACTGCTTCTATATTGACTCACCGGCGGCAAGCGTTGATGTCAACGAGCACTATTATAATACAAATGATCTACAATACATCGCCTCCTTGATGCCCCCGGCCCACGAAATCATCAAGCGGCTGTCGCTAACGACGACGCGCTCGTGCCACGTTGAAGTTGATTGTTCCGATGAGCGTCGGCGAAAACAGTGACCCGCGGCACGTGGATGCGTCGAAGGTTAGTGGCAGTGCTTATGTTTCGGTGAGGCTAGTTGCGGACCAAGATATGGTATTCCTTGTCTCCAAGCGATTGCCGGTTGCTACCGACTTCGACGCACGGCTTCAGCAGCCCGTAAAATTGTTGCCACTAATCCCCGCAGACCAATATTCTACCACCAGCACTGGTGGGCCAGCAATGCTGGCCGTCACGGTCGTCGTCGATCCACAAGGCTCTGGTTGCCCACGGCCGGGACGTTGCCCGTGATCAAAGCAGCCGATTCTGGACACATTTCAGTGCGCGGCCTCGTTTCATCTTATTCGCAAAATTTATGTCCAAAGTTGATACTCATGTCCTCCTCTCTTTGAAAACTACTGCATCGGAATCGTGGTAAAGCCTCTATGATTCGGCCACACATAAATGGCAGCAGCGTCGACAACGCCATGAAAGCCTGTAAATTGTGAGGTTGCACAGAACCGAGTAAAGCTTATCGATAGTCAACTTAACCCAAACAAGCTGCTGCCTGTACGCTGAGCTCTTCGCCCACTTCACATCCTATCAACTTCCGGTAAATGTTGCCGCTTTTTGTGAGTCGAACTTTTTGACTGTTCAGCGAGTGGACTCCAGGAAGAGAAAGCTATGCCACGACTGACTCGTCCGCGACTCATCTGCACGGGCAACTTGCGCAACTTGCTTTCGCCTGTCCTCGTGGTGGTGGCGCCTAAGTTCTTCTTCTGCGCTTCAAGGCGGACTACAGCGGCGACCGTAGCTCACAATTACATTTGACAAGTCCAGCAGAAATCAGACGATGAAGTCGATTACGGAGCTGGCTCCACCGGATCTGGACATGTCCGAGCAGGACGGCGATCTGCTGCGCGAGCTGGCCGAAACGCTCACGGTGCACAACATCCAGCAGTACAACACACTGCTCAAGACCAAGGACGGCTTCGCCGACAACCGGCGCTGGAAGGAGCTGCGTCGCAAGGATGGCATTCGTGTCTACCGCGAGCGCAGCCGTCACAACGGTCTGCCCTCCACACCGTCACTGCTACTACTCGGCACCATCGAGGGCAAGCTCGACGACGTCATGTACGGTGCCGTAGCCACCACGGACGAGGCCATCCGCATCAAGTCCACCTGCGTTCAGGACGGCATCATCGACAGCAAGGTGCTGCATGAGCTGGTTCAGCCGACGGTGGAAGATCCATTCCATCATGTGAGCATCAAGTGGCGCCTCTACAACAACCAGCGTGACTACGTGTCGCTGGACACTACGGGCATCGCACACACCGTCAAGCGCGAGCGCATCGGCTACAATATCTCGCACTCGGTGGCCTTTGCGCAGATCCCCGGCATGGAGGAGACCCACGGTATCGAGCGGGGCAACATGTCGGTTTGTTCCTTATATCTCCAGAAAACTCCGACAACCGTCGAGTGCTACGTGCGCGGCTTCTTTGACTTCCACACACAGAACGAAATGGTCAACACCATGTCACTCCAAGCCATTGCAGCGCAATGGGCATGCTTCGCACGGAAGCGCGAATGTGCATTGATGAAGAAGCTAGTGTGGCGGATGCGGAAGAGCTCAGGCTGTACGGCATCGCTGTCTCTACCCAACGACCGGCCATCGATCACTCAGCAACCACCAGCTCGAATTCGAGGCCGATGTGCAGTTTGTTCAAGGAGCTTCGGGTTCCTGGGCACAAACCACAAGAGCTGCAAGAGCTGCCTACGACAAGTCTGTACTCGATGCTCCTCCAAACAGCTCGTATGTATCGTGGCTCCAGACCAGCGTACTGTGCTCGGGAAAAAGAGAAGCTTTTGCTCCACATGCCTCACCGATGCAGCAAACTCCGACGCACTGGAAGTTGCCCAAGAGGAGCTGGCTAGCTCAAAGGCGTACCGTGAAACATGCCTGGCCAAGGCTCAAGAGATGGCTCGGGCATCCAGAGCCAGCTTCATGCAGAGTGCAGTCTCCCGTCACAGCCGGATCAACAGCCGAAGTGGAATCTGCCGGAACTCCATGGCTGCATAGTTTAGTGGGGGAGAAAGTGACCTTATCTAGTATTGGCTTTTATGGAAATGCTCGACTAACTCGCCCGAGAACTGTAATAACACGCTATTAGTCTGGTTCGTCATATCCATGATACCTACGTGGTTTCTTGCGCATGCGAATTTATGTGTAGCGATTACCTGGAGTTTATTGAAGGTAGGCGAGCATCTTGTTTTGCGTGCGAGGTTGAAGACGGCCCAGACGTAGTTGTTATTCTTTTTGTTGGAAATACAAGTAGAAGAGAGAACGCACGCACATGTTGAAGCGGTGAAAAGTTCCGTAAGCATTCGACTGTGAGATGCCGATGGTGGTTATAGAGTTCCGAAGATCTACAATCCAGGGCGTTCTCATGGCCAGCACCGCTCGAAGCACTTACGACAGTTCCGGAGCTGAGCAATTGGCGCTCGTACTCCGAGTCAGAGTCCGACCTGGCCAGAGCACCGGTCTTCGGACCGACTTGCACCACAGGTTGTCGAAAAGGTGAATCGGTTCTAAGCGTGAGCTTTGTTGATAGTTTCATCATGAACTCCATGGCTCCTTCTGTTTATTACTACTTGACTACGGACTGCATGCAATCTGGATCCAAGCACTTGGATGGAGTTCAGATGCACAAGGACGTCAGCTAAGGCGTTACCGAGGTTCGGTGGGACGCATAGATGATTGTTCGACACCATTTACCTGTTCTGTGCATGACCAGCTCTGCTGTGGAGGCTGCATCTAGTAATACTTGACTTGTTTGCACCGACAGCGTGTATAGGCCTCGACTTTAATCCGTACCTCGTGTTCGTCCACTGTGTCGCCGTGCCAAAGTCCGGAGGTCCGACGACTCAAGCTTATTATTCTTGTCTGCTGACTCTTCTAAGGCATCTACTGGCCTCCGAGCTATAATTTGTTCTCAAAAGTGCTCCGTTTGCTTCGCACGCACACTGAAGAAGAGCATCGAATACTCGGAGAGTTTGGTCGTCACCGCTCATTGTCACTTCAGAACGCAACAGCGAACATGCGGCTCGTTCACTTGCTTCCAGAGCCCTCCATTTCTAGGCAGGACTGCAACATGTTGCAGCACCTTGCAGACACCCTCGCTGGACATAACATCTCTCAGTACAATACTCTCGTGAAAACTAAAGATGGCCGTGCCGATCCTCAGCGGTGGCGCGAAGTTCGACGCCGAGGCAATGTGCGCATCTACAGTGAGCGCTATACGTCTACAGCACAGTGTCCAGCAACACCCCAGCTTCTACTATTAGGCACTGTCGAGGGCAAGTTAGAGGAGATCATGTATGGGGCAGTGGCTACCACGGACGAGGCCATGAGGATTCAGTCTGCCTGCACGAAGGACAATGTTCGAGATAGCAAGGTTCTTTACGAGATCGTTCAGCCCAGCTTCCACGACCCGTTCCGTACCGTCGCCGTGAAATGGCGGCTCTACGAAGGGCGCGACTATGTATCGCTCGATGCAACAGGAATCACTCAAGTCCGTGGATATGAACGAGTTGGGTATAGCATTTCACACTCGGTGGCACTGTCGGATATCCCAAGCTTCGAGAGATCGCATGGCATTGAGCGAGGAAACATGTCCGTGTGTGCACTGTACCGCCAAAAGACGCCCAATACAGTGGAGTGCTATGTGCGCGGCTTCTTCGACTTCAACACAAAAAACGAGGTGCTCAAGAACATGTCACTTCAGACCATCGCGACGCAGTGGTCGGCATACGCACGAAAGAATACGTGCGCTCTAGCCAAAAAATTATCCTGGAGAGTGCGCAAGAATTGCGGGTGGAGCTCTCAATCTTCTCGAACGTACTCATTCGCCGACGACTTGGACGACTTCGTAGCCAGACAACGACCAGCAAGTTCTAACGAGCCTACTCGATGTTCCGTGTGCCACAAAGCCTCCAGTTTCTTGGTGTCGATTCGACGGACTTGCACTAGCTGCGAGCTGCCAGTTTGCTCTAAGTGCGTCGTCAAGAAAACCGTAGTGGCACTCGCACCCGACCAACACACGATACTGGAGCGAAAACGCTCGTTCTGCGTGTCATGCATGAATGCAGTGGAGAGCTGCGACGTGATGTCCATCGCGAGGGAAGAACTTGTGCGTCAGTTAGAAGAAGAGAACGATGAAGACATCGATGCCTACTGGGCTCGACTATCGTCCATGACGGTCAACTCCAGCTGCTACTCGAGCATCGCGTCACGACAAAGCAGTTTGACCAGCAGCTACGGCAGCTTCAACTTGGCTGAAATCTTCAACCGACCAAGTCTCATCGGTCGCGGTGGCAGCGACCTCGCATAAGTCAATTAGGCCTATACCAGCATCGTGCTCGATGAAGAAGAGCATGAAACTAAAGGAGGAATGAGTTAAAGTAGTAAGCAGCACCGATGGAAGTGCTACAAAATGAGAAAACGAGTCAACTTTCGTACTTTAATGTTTGCTCCAAAATGTCATTAATCTAAATTGTGACCTAGTAGCTTCATTTCGTCGCAGCTAATGAGCGATGCACCGACGCCCCCGCTACCCCCCGCGAGTCGGCGGACCAGCACGAGCTCCGTGAGTTCAGCGACTGCGCAATGGTCTCATGTAGGCCACCACCGCACTAGCATTCCCCCGGAGGCGACCTTCGACGAGCATGACACGCAGATCAAGCAGGAGCTGCTGGCGCTCATCACTCAGTACCTCCAACAGGAAGGCTTTGCCATGTCTAGCGCTACGATCCAGGACGAGGCCAACGTCAAGAGCCACGGTAGGCTACAGGAGCGAGACGCTTTACGCCGTCTAGGAGCCGCTATTGTGGACGGGGACTGGGACCTCGTGGCCAAGCTGCTGGGCAAGCACCTCAAGAAGTTCCACGCTGCCCACCAGGGTTTCCTCTACGCCGTATGCAAGCAAGAATACTTAGAGCTCATCGACCGGCAGGAGTATCAGAAAGCCTTCACCTTCCTCACCACGCACCTCAAGCCGCTGGAGAAGGTGGCGGCCGCCACGAGCTCCAGTCGCCACGAGTTCAAGGAGCTCTGCTACCTGCTCACATGTAAAGCCGTCGGGGAATCGGACGCCTTCCGCGACTGGGAGGGGGTCGTCAGGTCAAGAGAGAAGCTCGTGGAGCAGTTGAGAGCTACATTCGCTTTGGAAGAAGTCATTTCGCCCCAACAGGACGGAGATGCCGCCATGACCTCTCCACCGGTGGCCATGCCAGACAACCGACTGGTGCAGTTACTACACCAAAGTGTGGCCTATCAAATGGAGTTCAGTCGGTACCACCCGAAGACGATTCCAAAGGTTACGACGTTGTTGAGGGACTTCGAGTGTGAAGTGCTGCCGAACGCAGTTAAAAGCACTTACGTCGGTCACTCGCAGAATGTAAAATTTGTCACGTTTGTGGGGACAGATGGAGAGTTATTGGCGTCTGGATCCAGCGATGCCACGATCAAGCTTTGGCCTACCGAACTGCCAGAGACACACCAGGAGAGCGGCGAGGAGCAAGTGGGCGAGACCACAGGGACTGTCTGTCGACAATGGACGCGAGATCTACTTGGCCATTCGTCCAGAATCTGGTATCTTACTGCGAGTTTATCAGGAGAGCGTCTCTACTCAGGATCGGGTGATGGTACCGTCAAAGTTTGGGACTTGCGTGCAGCTCTGGAAGAGCGCGCTGCGGCTCAGCAGGCTCAAGATGATGACGACGATCTCTTGAACGGTCAACGTGGAGCTAACATTATGCAGTCGGCGGTCGAAATCGCAGCCGCTGCTACCTCAGATGCCACGTCCGCTATAGCTGCTGCCACAACGCTACCTCACAATTACTCGGTAACCTCAGCCGAATGCCTGGCCACACTAATGAGTCCAAACGGTGGCGATGTATACACAGTGAATCTGCATCCCAGCGAGACGCACTTGGTGACTGGAGGCTACGACCAAAGTGTACGTTTGTGGGACATTGCCACTGGTGCAGTGGTCAAGACTTTCCGCGGCCACTTTGCGTCCGTGTGCGATGTCCAGTTCAACAGACATGCCAACTTCATCGTAAGTGGCTCAAAGGATGGCACTATCCGATTGTGGGATATCCTTAGCGGACTGTGTGTTCACACATTACGCCAGACACTTGGTGAGGTCACGTCTATCTCGATGGCTTCGAATGGCTACACTCTGCTAAGTGGCTCGCGCAACAACAGTAATCGTCTGTGGGACTTGCGAATGCTTCATGCCCCACGCGTTCATCTGTCAACTGGACTCAGTAGCGGTGCATCAAGTGGCGGTTCAAGTGGATCACTCAGTAGCTACTCGATCGGAGGTAATGGAGGTGTCGTCAACGGCTACGGATCAGCCAATGGGGTTGGAATATCTGGAGGTGTTGGCTATGGCAGCAGTGGTAATCTTAGTGCAAGCGGTAGTGTTAGTGGTGGAAGCACCGGCTTTTCGGGCAGCCGCCATGTGGAGCAACGTCCGCTGCAACGTTTCAAGGGACATCAAAACACTGCGAAAAACATCGTGCGAGCCTCATTCGGTCCACGCGAGAGTTTTGTCTTGGGTGGATCGGAGGATGGCTTCGTGTACGTGTGGGAAGTGGCTACGGGCAAGTTGCTGGAGAGGCTCTCTGGTCACCGCGGTGTTACGTATAATGCTCGCTGGCACGAGAAGCAGGCGCTGCTTGCTTCGAGCTCTCATGACGGCACGGTTAAAACTTGGTGGTGGCAAGACAAAGCCAGTCAACTATGAGCGAGGCAGTGGGTGGCTCATCACGCGAGTTGATCCTTGAGTTCGGCTCACACAGTAGGGTGTATCGGATAGTATAAATTTTATGTGGTTTCTATTGTCTATTGCGTGCCGATGACATCGCTTGTACCAGTGTGATCCAGAAACCTTTTCCACACGATGGGGAAGAGATCCACAACATCTCTAGCAACCTGTTTACACTTTTCTTCCTGCTCAGAAGTGGCCACAACTCCACTGAAAAGCTCATTTTTAAACAGATACTCGAGGAACTGCTCGCCTAGTGCCTCGTAATCGTTAGAGACCTCATCCGAGATGCGAAGAAATCCTGGGATGGCTTGAAAACGCTTCTTCACCGATTCCTTTCCGGTAATCAGCACCTGGTTTGGAGTCAAAGGTTTGGCTCTGCCTTTGGGAGGCTTCTTTGAGTTTAAAGTACGGCAGAACGTCTTGGCTTTCTCCCGTATGGCACGCAGACATACATACCAAATACTCTTGTGCTTCTGCATACCGATGACGGAAGCATCGTCGTCTAAGAACAAATGGACGCCACCTTCATGCTGATACGCACACTTGCTGCGCTCGAGTGCGGCTTCAAATGCATCCACATTAAACTCGACGATATCGTAAGTCACTGTGCGGATTCCAAGCGCGCGCATGAGCTCGTACGGCAACACGGGGTTCACACAGATCTCTGCGCCTTCCGGAGTGTTTAGCGTCATCAATGATAAGCCATAAAACACAGGCGTATCTTCCGACAAGTAGTCTAGCAGTTGCACGTGCTGGTGGCTTGGACACAACACCTCGAACGATGCAGTGGTGCGCGTCTGCCACAAGAAATCACAGAGCAGCTTACGTTTCGCTGCCTCCAGAGAAAACAGCATTCGCAAAATAGCAGTAGCAATCGGCGCCGCGGCAAAGAACGGGTCGTTGCCACTTTCTTTCTTCTGGGTCTCTCGAGTCCGTTCAATGTCTTCAACTGTCTGAGCTATCAGGTGCGTGTTCTTGGATCCAAGCACGTAAACGAACTCGCCGTCGCTTCGCTTAAGTACTGACAAGTGACCTGCCTCACCGTTTTCCTTGGTGGTTGAGATCACCCACTTGCTCTGAGTCTGTGGCTTAGTGAAGAACTTGGACAGCTCCTCCTCTTCATTCCCGGTTCGTTTCTTTAGTTCTCCGTCGTCTTCTTGGCCCGTAAACTTCCTGTAACCTCGGATAAGCGGGAAGAAGTAGGTAGTTTCTTGTGTCTTCCACTCTGCAATGCAATTACCGCGTGGTAGCCATTCTCTAGCGTACGCCGACTTGAGGTACACAGCATCGTCGGGTCTTCCTGGTCTCCCCACCTTGATGTCGCGCACGAGCTCCAGTCCAGGTAAGAGCTCCGGCATCATATGACGCTGCTGCACTCTCACATCCTTGTCGTTCCTGGCCTTGGTCACATGTTCTTGCCACTGTGATGAATCCTTCTCTATCACTTCCTCGAAGGTCTTAGCGCCGCTATGTTGCTGCAGCAGGAACGTCTCGAGCTGGAGACGGCCTTTGCGTATGTGTACGACCGTATTGGTGGGTTGGTTGCGCTCCAGGGCGTCCAAGAAGCAGCACAAGTCGTCGGAAAGACGAGTAGAAGGAACCGCAAAGGAAGACGACGATGAAGACTCGGTTGCCATGGCGGTGTAGACGAATGCGCACAACACAGAAGATCGTCAAGTGAGCCACAGATGCACAGCAACAATTGGAGAGACCATCACTCATATTTTGCCTCGATACAGTGACATTTTGAGTGACATTGAAGTTGCTTTTATGACTTTTAACGGGTATACTTTTGGCATTTTAGCAGCCGGTTCCTCCGGCGATACGTAGACACGAGGTCGACGGGAAGATGGACATGATGTTGACCATGGTGGAGTACACAAGAGCGAAGGTGAAATAGACGACCGTCACCAAGCCCAGGATGCGGCTGGAGCCTCCGTTGCGCTTGAGCTCGTTGGTCTCAGCCTTCTGCTTGGGCAGCAGAGGCAGGAAGAGCAGACCAGCCAGATTCATGGCATAGCGAATGATTAGAATGTAGGTCACCTCCCAACGCACGTGAGTGGTGTCACTGGCGATATCGGCGTTGGCCACATCGAATGCACTGTCCACATTCTTCGTGATGGTGCTGGCGAACGGAATAGCAAGGTTGGAGACCGACCCAACCAGACCGTACACGGCGCCCTCGTTGCCATCCTCCGCTAGCTCCACAATCACGTACGTGCCAATGACAAAAGCCATGCCGCTCGGGAGGTTTTCCACGACAGGAACACCCAGCCAGAACCACTGGTTACGAATGACATTCCACGTCGTGAGAAGCGTCACAAGAGAGTCCAGCACAGTCACGGCAATGATCATCGTGGCGTGCATCCACCGCCAGTTCCAGTGGAGACCATACTTACCCGTGCAGTAGAGAGTCACAGCGAAAATGCCGTGGCCAATAATGGCGAGAATTTTCTCGTTCAAAGGCGTCACGCCGGCCCAGTAGGCTTGCATAGCCGAAGACGAAGTGATTGTGAAATTCTCAAAAATACCGGAGAAAAACTTGTACGCAATGACCTGGTACATCGGACGTGTCTGGATGAGAGTCCAAAGCTCCTTCAAGTAGGTGCTGAACACCATACCCTCATGCTTCTCCTCTTTGATGAAAAACCATGTAAGTGGCATGACGGGTAGACAGACGACAGTCAGGATAATCATGAGCTGAGGGAAGCTCAATGAGAAGTCAAAGTCGCCGCCGTAGTGGGTACCATTGAACGCAAAACCAGTCAAGATGCTGGAGATAGTCACAAACACCGTGCGGACCATGTAGATCGTAGTCTGGGTGTAACCGCGTGTAGCTTCGGGCTCCCGTTGGGCAACTTCAACCATCATGGCATCAGCAGCAACGTCAGCACCAACGTAGCCGATAGCAGCAAGCATCATGAGAACGATGAACTTGCTGCCAGTGGAGGGCGCGTCCGTGTTGAAAGAGGCGATGATATCGGGCGACAAAGTGGTGACGTTCATCGAAGCATATGCATACTCCGGGTAGTACGGATCTCCGGCCTTCATGCACGCCATGACTAGTAGCATGATAAAGCACAGCGTCCACCCGATGATCATGAACGGACGACGACGGTAACCCATGATCGGTACACAGTCCGTAATGATACCGTAGAAGAGCTTGAATGACCACGGAAGGTTGAGCAGCACGGTGGCCGACACCACTTGGGTGCTTTCCATATTGAGGTAGTTGAACAGGAACGGGTAGACGGTTCCAGGTAGTGTACCGTAGATCATACCCACTGCAGCGTACTGCACTATGATACCGATGTACTCGCGGCTCCAGACGTTGATGGCACCACCGGCACGAAGGGCACCGCCTTCGATGTCCTGTGTGGGGGTCTTCATGGGTTCAAAACCCTTAGGCTGAGGGGAGATGCCAGCCGCCACGGGCGACAGCATGTTGAGTTTGTTTGTAGGACTTGCCATAGACGACAATAGGCCGATGTTGTCAAGAGGTTACCAATTGAAAAGGAAAAGTGAGCTCCTGAGAGAGTCCGGCGAAGCATCTCCCGGTCGGCAGCACAACAAGGGTGTCTGTGATGCTGCACAACACTGCGCATCTACGACAGCCACCCAGCCGCTTTTAGTTTGTCACGACACCTCGGAGGAGGAGGAGGTCGTTGAATGGGTCCCGCTCCATTCTGCTTTGCCTAGCTTGTATCGTCTGGTGGTAGAATTCAGTCCCTCCAGGCTGGAACCTCCAGTGGAGAAGTCCAGCGTTTCGTTTGTTACAGCGCTGACTAGTACCGCCGCTATGTGGCCACCAGTTACATCAGTGCTTACAGCGAACCCACTCGACCACGCGTTGTACAAAAATGTACATGTACTTAGTTCAGCCAAGCTGGTTGACAATTTAGACCGCGTGATGCGCACGCCCGGCACCAGGGGTAGGATCGTGAGCTGTAACCGAGGCGATACATACGTTCATGTACCTTCACCTTGATTGAAACTTACCGTTTAGGATTATTACATTTGTAGTCGCGCGGTGCATCGCCGGAGTGCAAAATGCTACATTTTTACGTTTTTATAACTATTAATACATGAAATTTAAAAATTGCACGGAGGGTACATGTACTTGTTCTGCCGCGAATGCAGATTCGCTCTCCTCGACGTGCTGGTCTTGCAGCTTGGATGAGTCAACACCATATCCTGTCAATCGATTTCTGAGAATGTAAGGTCAGCTTGTGGCTAAAACAAAGATCTCGCTGTCAGCAACGAGAATGAAATTGGCGCTTAAGAAGAAGCTGGGCTTTCGGCATGACATTAGCTACGTAACACTTCGATATAAGACCTACACAAAGAACCCACCAGTACAGCATTACATACAGTAAAAATGGGAACGAGTTTCAGATCGTCACTAGAGAGTTTAAGCTACAGAACGGAAACGACTTTAAAAAAAGTCGCACATTAAAGTTTAATCACGGTGAATTGTTTGGTGAGACCACTTTTTGGTCTCATCAAACAATTCTAACCCGCGAAGGTTGCATTCCAGCAACCAGTTTGATGCACATGATACCGTTTTGTAATTTAAAATAAATTACCGATTGAACTGATAAATTCGTTTTATATGGGTTTTAGAAGGCACCCATGAATTGCCAGGTGGTGCTTAAGCAGACTCGCAACGAAACGTAAGATGATCATAAGGTCTGGAGATCCCTAAGTACTTAATGTACTTCGATGTTTCTTTTATTGCAATATAGGGAAAATTGTGGAGCGAAGATTGGATGTCCAAGAATTTAAAAGGCTATTATTATGTATCAACTAACGTTTCTGGAATCAGACAAATCTGGTCTAAATACATCGGAAAGATCACTACTTTATTAAACAAAGCCGTGCTGGCGCCCGGAGAAGCTCTGGATTTTATTGGCGCTTTTCTATTTCAAGGAGTTTATAAGAATGGATAC